TATCGATCTTGAGAAATCATCCCTTCTTCAACAACTTGCATTGCTCGTCTGTACAAATGATCAAACCACTGAACTGGGTTAGCAATATCGACATTATTGGGCCCACTATCTGGTGCATAAAGCCGCTTAAAATCCTTCCTCCAACGTGGTAAGATATACGGTGAAGGGATCTCCTCCACCTCATTGTAGCTCAGAATACACAGTGCATGCCGGCACAGGTAACCTTTAAAGTTGAAGCAACCACAAATGCAACGAACTTCTGCTCCTCTTTTATCATACATAACCTCAAAGTTCTTAATATCCCTCAAATTTTCTTCACCCGGGCGTTCTTTGATCATGTAAGTAACTAACGGCCCACTGGCATGAACTTGAGTTATGCTAAAGCAAGAGGACATCATCAAAACCTCACCTTGAAATCTCCTGAAAATTTCATTTGTATACAATTTGGAGAGCTGTACCTCATAAAAGCTATTTGTTCTCCGCATGGGGCCACAATTCCTCGACTCAAAATCATCAAGAGCTTCTTTCTGGTATTTCTTTTGTAGAACTAGCTCATACACGTCAAAAAACTCTTTCAAAGTAGTTTTTTGATTTACATAACCGTTGAAAAATGGGGTGGTGGACTCATCTTTTAGGAAAGTGGACATTCCAGCAAAACAAGCATCTTTCGAATAAACAGGGGCCCATCTCTCTCGATCTTCATAGCATGTTCGAAGCCAGGCATTATCTGTGATTCCAAAACGCTGGATCATAACTTCCCAAGCCCTTTCAAATTCATCAACCTTAAAAGAGTCATGGATCGTCGCATTCAGCATTATCTGAAATGCTTTGTACTCCTGCAGCGTGCCCAGATGATCAAGAATCCTGTGCACAACATGTGACAAACAAAGACGATGGTGAGCACGTGGGAACACCTCTGCAATTGCACTTTGCATGGCCTTGCATTGATCAGTAATGATAGTTTGCGGAGGGCGACCCAACATACATGTAAGCCATGCTCTAAATAGCCATATATATGTTTCAAAAGTCTCATCTGCAAGCAAACCACAACCAAGTAGAATAGATTGCCCGTGCTGATTTACTCCAACAAATGCAAAGAGTGGAATTTCATATTTGTTCAATAGGCATGCCGTGTCAAATATAACCACGTCACTGAAATAACCATATGCAGCCCTAGACCTGGAATCTATCCAGAATACATTCCTCAAAAACCCCTCATCATTGAGATCCATCAAGTAAACAAAGTTTGGATTTGTTAGCTGAACCCGACAAAAATGATTATAAATAATCTGTGCATCTCCCTTTTTAAGCTTCAACCGCTTGGACCTGTCAACATGCTGGCTACTTTCTCCTTCATTTGAGGTAGTGCTTCCATAACCCAGTGGGTCTACAGCAGCTGTTCGGTACAATTTGATCGTCCGTACTTCCACATCAACAGTGGGCTCCACCTTTCTTTTAGTCCCTGCATCCATCTTCTTGTGAGACTTTGAATTTTGTGCTCTCTCGGGGTCAAATAAGTGGTTGTGCTCGAGCTTGACTTCATCCACCCTCCACCTATTAGATTCCACGAGCCTCAGCCTTAACATGGCTAGACAACCAGTTCTTGTTTCCTTTCTACGACTGTGTGCTTCTTTACTTGTCTTAAAACCCTCGCAGTTGCAGCAGAGCACTGCACCACGTTTCTCCTTGCTGTTACGTTTTGTCCATGAAGACTTGACCCTGATAGCAAACCCCAAATCCTTAGCATAACAATTATAATAATTATAAGCATCGTCATACGATTCAAACTCCATCCCCACAACAGGTGGTGGATAATCCTTCCCTAGGGAGTCACCACTTTGAACATCTTCTACTGTAGCACCATCTCCGTTGTTTTCAAGGACATGGTATTCAATGTCAAACAGTTGTTCGCAATTGTCCTCAAGGTCATTGCCTTCGGGCAGGTCATGTCCTTCAATCTCAAGGTTTTTGTCTTCTATCTCGAGGTTGTTATCTTCAATTACTAGGTCATTGTCTTCTATACCAAGGTCATCGCCCTCAATTTCAAGGTCGTTGCTATCAAATTCAAGATCATCACCTTCTTCCACAAGTAGCTGCTCGCTGTTCTGGGAACGTTCTTCTATCTGCAATGTTAAATGAACGACCAATATCATAAATGTTAGCAGAAGCAAGCAGCACATAGCAAAGTCCTTTACAGTTTTGCATTGACAAAAACCATTTGATTTAGAACCAAAGTCATTCAACTGGTAATTAGTAAGCTAATTTTCAATCTGGAACTCAAATCAAATTTACATTGATCACATCTTCGCATTCTAACTTAGAGCTAAAACTTCTTTAAAGCATGACAAAAAACCTTTGCTGGACAAATGAAGACAAGTGGACGACTAGTCTGTCGAATTGATCAGGATTGACATGAACAAGAACAGGATATTTCTAAAGTATTATTTAATTAGAACCCAGCGATAGTCTGCAAAAGGTGAGTCAAGTACACACTGTATAAATCAATCTGGAAGAACTCAAGCAATTTTGACCAAGCAATAACCACCCAGTGGCTGGTCAGGGTGGAAAAAAGAGAATCGGATTACCAGGTATTTTGTAGTAGATTAAAAGCGTCCGTTGGTAGATACCTTAGTTATGGGTGATTTTGGGAACAGTGGCAGAACTGTAATTGGTGGATAACTCGGTTTAATTCAGGGTGCCTCGCAAAATGAAGGTGTTCAGCTACTATTTTTCTGAATTTCAACTTCTTTGTATTTAATAAATTGTTATCGTTTAGCTCTTTTTCCCTAAGCAACATGATTAATTAAATTAGTTCGTGCAGAAGTACCAGCCCTAGTCTATCCAGGAGTCGTAATCGCTAAAATACAGATGCAATGCCATTTTGAGACCGGACTAAAATTAAGAGATTTTATAACACGTTTTGGTGTCGGTGCCTAGTTTCCTTCTTGCTCTTTTACCTTATTCTCTATCTTAAATCTTCTACTTTCTCCTCCAACTGTTCAGATCTCAATCCACCCCTCAAATCAAACTTTTCAGCTCTAATTCCAAGTGTTCACAAGCATGCCCACTTCAAATACTAACTCTAATTCCCTGTTACACCACCCCGTGAATTGAGTTTTTAATTCGCTAATTTACATCAACCTGAATTGATTTCAAGCACTCAATTAATCCAGGACCCCTAGAAGCTGTAGCATTAGAATTCAAGACTTAATTTTTACTCCCTGATCATAAAACTTGCTATATTACTTTCTCTAGCCACGAAACACGTTAAAGGGAAAAAATGATATGAAAGAAAAACGAAAACATAATCTCAAAATTCTCAAAAAAATAAATAAAATAAAAAAAATCCCATTGTTTTTAGTAGCTAAATACAGCTAAATTTATGATGAATTACAAATAAAAAAGCCAAAGAGGAAACCGAGAGAACAAACAAATCGTTGCATGAAACTATATACTATGAGAAACTGACTTTGTAGCCAAGAAGAAGAAGAAGAAGAAGACTCACCTCAATCATCGCCATTCCCCACCACTTTCTACTGTATACCCATTAGATAGAGATATAGCGTGAGGTTGGTCCTCAAATTCACCAGCGGAATCCCACACCCTTCGTGGTTGACTTGGTGATACCTGGTAACTTCGCGTCCCTTTTCCAGTTCTTGCCTTTTAAAAAAAAAAAAAATTATGGAAACCAGTTCTTGCTCTCTCCTAAGGAAAAAGGGTTTTGTTTTTTCCTTTAATTTTATTTAATTTTTTATTGTAATTAACTACAAAAAGGCCGTTGGTGGGCCTCGTCTCTATTCGGGGAATGTCAATGAGTTAATTATAAATTAGTCCATGTAGTTTCAAACATGTTATAAATTAGTACGTAAATTATGATAAATAATTTAATAGTCCTTATGGTTTCTATAGTCACGATACTTATCAAGTTACATAACGAAAAAAATAAAATCGTTGATTATTTTATTGTTAATAATTTCTGATTCCGACTAGAGATAAGTGTTTTTAAAAGTAATGGATAATTATTGAACCAATATTATAATTGTTGCCGATCGGATAAAAACGTGTCTTCAACTTTTTATTTCTCTAATTGATGAGAAGTAAGTGCGAATCTTCCCACTATTGGTTGACGGATCGAAAATAATATTATTGTTTGCTGAGGAATCGTCTAGATAGGCTTTATCTATCCAATATTTTCTTGAATACAATAATATTAATGTATTTTATAATTCTCCAACACGTGGTTTTTAAATAGTATTTGAAGGTCACGGGTATTTCGGATATATCGGGTACAATGTAAAAAAAAAAAAAAATGCTAAGTAGCTACGAATGTGTAAATTTAGTAATAGCGTCTTATTTTATATTAAAAATTTTCTTTATAATAAAAAATTTTACTCAAATTTTATTTTTAATATTTTTTATCATAATTTTTATTTTAAAAATAAGATACTGAGTGTCATTGGTTTTTCAATACTTATAGAGTTCAAATAATAATTTATCTTATATTTTATTAATAAAAATTACTATTTACTTATAATACTCGATCTCTTTATCAATAATTTTTTTAAAAAACTAACAGAAAAAAAATTTAGAATTAAATATTTTATGAATTTTATCAAAATAAAATAAAATAAAATAGTATTAAAGAAGATATTGATATCCAATCTATATAATTAATAATATTATTTTATTTATATTAAAAATATTAATTAAAAACATAGAGCACAACTGAAGATGCTCTCAGTTGATATCCGTTGTTATCTATATAGTGCCTTAAATAAATAAATAAATAAAAGAGGATGATCTAGGAAAGCGCGTGAAGCCGCGAAGACCAACGAACACAACTACATCTTTTCCTCGTCAAATTATATCCACAAAACAATGAAAATCCTAATGTGGCCTCCGTTTAGTTGCTTGATTTTTTCTTTTTAAATGAAAAAAAGAAAGAAAGAAAGAAAGACTGCCTTTCTCTCCCTGCAAACAAGTACACAAAACAAAGCAAAATGACTACTTGGTCTCTGCTCTCTCCTCTTCTTCTTCCTGCGGTTGCTGCGTCTGTGCACACCAACAACATTAATGCAAGAACAAAAAGAAAAGTGATTGCAAGAAGAAGAGGGACATTAATAATAGCAAATGCCAGAAACAGTAGCCAAGAGAATGAAGAAGATAAAGATGCACCAGCTTTCAAACCCTTTGGTTTTGTTACTGACAATCCTTCTAGCCGCTCTGCCATTCAGCTCCCTGAGTCACCTGCTGAGGATGGCAATGTCGGCCAAATGCTCAATGTAAGCATTCTTTTATACTAACATATACTTATTTAGCTGATTCTAGCAGTACTAAGTTAATTATGTTGTCTAGTTTGTGAATTAATGGTAACCAATCAGGCATAAACACAACTTCATTTACATGGTTTTTTTAGATTTTACTTTTCTGTTTTCAATGGTAAAATGATGTTTTTGGGGCCCTTCTAATCTTGAAAAATCAATAATTTTGTCCATGTTCTGTTAGTTTTATCCCAGCATTCATTCTTTTGTGTTCCAGAGGATAGAAGACAAGGGAAAGGAATATGGCTCGTACATAAAATCTGGGAAGTTGATATGGTTTGTGAGAGAAACTGGTAAAACTTTTATCTACAACATGCAACGGTATTTATTTTTTGCTTCAAACCACCTGTTTAACAAATACTACATCTTTGGATGGCAGGATCTCCTGACAGCCGTCGTGGAACTGTTATCTTCTTACATGGAGCGCCAACACAATCTTATAGTTATCGAGTTGTCATGTCTCAGGTTATTTTATACTTTTCTTTGCTTTTGAATGTCTAGACGGCCTGGAGTTTTATAAATTTTTCTACAGCAAAGTTATTCGAATTTATTTACATGTATATAGATGATGAGAAATTATTGATTTTGAGTTAGGCTATTGAATCTCTAACTATGTTGTGGTGCCAAACTAGTAATGTTGTCTTGCCTAGTATGCTTTTGCCGGTTAACATTGAGGTTACTGCATAATTTGTTTTTTCCTCCAATTTCTATTCCCAATTTCTGACATCTTTTCCCTCCTGGGCTAAAACTGTTACCTGAAAGGTCAATCTCTGCAAAAAGAATTTAAGAGATGAAGTTTTTGGCTTCATGGCTTGATAACCTTGTTCAGAAATTGTGCTTCAGGGTTTTGATTAGGTTACCACTGCTGGATTCACATGTTCTTGAGCTACAATCATAGCTTACTGCCTACAACTACCTACTCTATTAAGAGTCTTACAATTTGGCGAAATTTTTATTTGTTTCAAACAAAATTTGCTTGAAAAAAATTGTGTGCTAAGGTTCTTTATTCAGTTGTCAACAACTTGAGGAGTGTAGAGAACTGAATGATAGGTGACAGTGCCCTGTGGTGTTAGGATTTTTCTTTTCCTTCAGAAGAAAGGTACTAACTAAAGTCAAAACAAGTTGCCTCAAGAAAATGAGTAGAATCAATGACGGGAAGGCCTTTTCATCAACTCGTACAGTTAATTAGTTTACCTGATTGAGCTGTTATCGACAACTTGAGTCCAAATTTCTTCAATAGTAAAGTTAATCATCCGTTTTCTTGTATAGATGTCAGATGCTGGGTTCCACTGCTTTGCACCTGATTGGATAGGGTTTGGTTTTAGTGACAAGCCACAACCTGGATATGGCTTTGACTACACAGGTTTTGTTTTCTGATATTAAAGCTATTATGGTACTTCAACATTTTAATTCTATTCATGTAATTTTCTACTGTTGCAGAAAAGGAGTTCCATGAAGAACTTGATAATTTACTTGATGTGCTGGGTGTCAAATCTCCTTTCTTCCTTGTTGTTCAGGTTTGAATAGATTAGCTGAACACAGCCTATTAGGATTCCGAAACATCCAAAGTCTGCATGCATTTCGCTTGGTGTTCGGTTTTCAAGCATGATGATTTCTCAAATACTGTAAGTCTGTTCGTGTAAATCTAATACCTAACATGCTTCTCATATTCCCAAAGGGATTTCTTGTAGGTTCCTATGGATTGACTTGGGCCCTGAAAAACAAGAGCAAGATATCAAAATTAGCAATTCTGAATAGTCCAGTGACAGTTTCATCTCCTGTTCCTGGACTGTTTCAACAGCTAAGGTTCAGTGATTAGCCTTCTATGAAAGTGCTAATTGTGATATTAGTTCATAAGCTATGTATATATATATATATATATATATATAATTCTTAGTTTCTCTTAAACGCACCGACACTGCTCTGCTAACCCATTGTTTTTTTCTCACTTGCACTTCATTTTTTCATCCAGGATTCCTCTGTATGGTGAATTTACCTCCCAAAATGCTGTCATGGCTGAGCGATTTATTGAAGCAGGTAGCCCGTAGGTATCCAAAATATATGCTTTCAGATTTTACAGTTTCAAACTGAACCTTTGGTTTCTTATTACTGAAACTATCTATTCCTATAAGTAATCAGATTGCCTTAAAACAGAGTCATTTTACTACCAAACTGATGACTCAGTTAATACCATGCAAAGTTATAAGCTTGCATGGAAAATGAGAAGTCATGCTTGTGAATGTTCAGAGAATCTATCAATAAATATGCGCTAGTGTGCAAGTGAGAGTTTGTTCTGAGCACGAACGCTTGCAAAGACAATAGCACAGATGTGAAAACATAGATACTATCTGTTCTTAAAATTTAAGCATGCCAGTGGAGAAACAGCTACAGATTTGTAAAGATATCTACTTTCCTTAGTACCTAAGGAGATCGAGCTGTTTTATGATGTTGCAATAGCTTTTATTTGTGCTTTACTTTCTCTGGTCGCGCCTGTTTTGCAGCTATGTCCTGAAGCTGGAAAAAGCTGACGTTTATCGATTACCATATTTGGCAAGCAGTGGACCAGGATTTGGTTTGTATTTTATTTCTATTTTGACATTTGCTCGTAAATGTGTGATAAACAGTAAATGACATATGCCAGGTTTGAAGGGAACTAGGCAAGTATTGTTCTGATTAGCCATAATCTTAATTTGCCTAATATTTATTCACTTCAAGGCAATCTAATATATCTCCAACTTACGTTGCATGGATAAAACTAGCGATTTAACAAAGAATTGATACGATAAATTTTTTAGTTGATCCATCCTCAACAGAACCAGCAGCTTGCAAATAGTTCTTTCTTTCGGTTTTTCGTTTTCGTTCTTTAATGTCAAAGTCACTTCAACACCTCAACAGAACCAGCAGTTTGCAAACAGTTCATAATGGATGTAGGTAAACATGAATGTCTTGACCATTAATGGTTTCATGCTTTTACTTTTGTTGTTTCAGCTTTGCTCGAGGCTGCAAGAAAGATCAACGTCAGAGATATTTTAAGCCAAATCGCTGATGGCTTTGCATCTGAAAGGTAAGCAGAACTTTTTATCTATTGTAGTAAAGCAGATGAATTTAACCAATGTTCGTTTATTCACCTTTTGTTTTTGTAATTTGTTAATTAATGGCCTCTTGACTCTAGATGGGATAAACCAATACTTCTTGCATGGGGAATAGCAGACAAGTATCTGCCTCAATCTGTGGCAGAAGAGTTCCAGAAAGGAAACCCTAATGCTGTGAAGCTTAAGTTAATAGAAGGCGCAGGCCATATGCCACAAGAGGACTGGTGATTTAATCGTATTACCTCGTTTTTGTGCACAACCTTTTCTTTTTTTCCTCCCTCTTTCTTATGTGAAATCTTTGCCCTGGCACTGACAGGCCTGAGAAAGTTGTGGATGCTCTGAGAGTATTCTTTTGAGCTCAACGCATGAAATTAACATTTTGAGGGAGACCAAAGGTGAGAAATATGACTGCCCAGCTGGAGTTGGGGTAATGGAGTAGCCAAATTTGTATCTTACGTTCCCTTCTTTCCATTTTTTGCCCACAAAATCTGCTGCAGATGATTGACTAGGGGATTTTCAAGGAGCAGGAAAAGGAGAAAATGAGCACAAAAAAAGAGGGGAGAGAGGAAAATCAGACAATATAGATTTATTTTCTTCTGAGCTCATATGAAATAGCGTTGCAAATGTTTTCATACATTTATCTCAATGTATCATATTCACGAAGCAAGCATTTACCATAAAATTAAAAATACTTGCCGCTCTTCCCCTGCTACAAAGGACTGTCTTTCAGGAAGGATGGATAGGTAAATGATGGATATGATAAAGGTAGAGAATGGATGTTAACTCATCCATCTAGTTGTTTGGCTAACAAGGAAGAGAGAAAGGAAACTAATCAGAAACTAGAAAAAGTTTCTCCTAGGGTAGAACAAAACCAAGGAAGCAATTCTGGCTGGAGTACACAATCAATTAGTAGAAAAGTAGCTACATTTGACTATTTAATGGATCGGCGAAAACAATCTTTATGGGCATTCGTTTCAGCTACAGGGGTCGGGGAGTATTTCTTAATTCATAGGTTTTGAGAAATTAATCACAAATGTGTTTATTCCAAACAGCTCAACTCAAACCCAGTTCATGCTAACTTAAAAATACTTTCATTAACATTTAGTCCATTCTGATAAAATTTACATCACTTGAAAGACAAAGTCCTAGTCATACGATTAGTAGAAGCCGTAGGCATGAGCAGAAATGAAGTACCTTGAACAGGATAGACTAATAGTCATGACAAAATTCATTTCACTGCCAATACTTGCAGAAACTACATGCACCACCTTCCTATACTTCCAAAATTAGGGCTCAGGCTTTGGCAGCACCTTGTGATATCTCACAACAGCAATCTACTTCGCTTTCTTGTTTGGTTTCTTAGTATTTTGATTCTTAACCAATTTCTTGGATGCTTTACCTACCATGGCTTGTTTTTTATTGGCCACTCTTCCAGGTTTTTTCTTCTGATCATCATCACCAGCAGCAGCACCAACATCATCCTCTTCATTGTCATCTTCACTATCATCATCACTTGCTTTGGATTTTCTTTTTGCTGAAGGCTTTTTTCCAGGACTTTTAGGCCTCAACTCTCTCTTTGATTTGGCCTTCTTGGCAATTTCCTCTTCCTCACTGGCTGGTTCATTGCCATCATCTTTGTTGTCATCGTCTCTTTTTTTCTTTGAAATTTTTGTTTTTGGTTTACCCACCGCTTTCCCAGCTTGGTTTCCATTCAGCTTCTGCAACTCTGGAACATAGGCTGTTGTCTAAAACCCAAAATACAAGCCCATAAAAATCTACTTCTACATAAAATTTTTCAATGGAAAATTGTTCATAGGCATTGTACTAGGGAACACCAGTAGGGAACTGCTTCATAGAGCAAAAACAGAAAAATCATAAGCTCTGCTTCAAAATGACATACCCTCCCACCGGCAACAATAAATTCAATCTTCTTCCCTGCCACAACGAAGAAGCTTTATAAATGTTTGAATGAAGGAAACTAAAACGACTTAACAAAAGGATAAGCAGTGCATTTGAGAATCAAAACAAATAGGGCTAGAAGTCAGGATGTCAGATCTAAAAAATTATTTTATCTTTTCTACTCAGTCACTTCAAACTTTCATATCTTTGGCACACACTAAAAATGGAAAGTGATATGCATGTGGTGGGATAGAGAGAAAGAAGCCACTGTTAAAAGGAGGGCAACGATCAACTGCTACAGGAAATAATATGGAGGATAAGGAAGCAAACCATCAACAAAAGCCTTCCCAGACTTCTTTTCACGAGAATGAAAAATCCAATTGCTGGGGAACTGACTACTATCTGCCCCAACTTGAATTGCTTTTTCAATCACCTGTTAAAAGAATTTTTTTTTAACAGAAGGATCAATATATATTAAAAGTAACTTACCATTAACTTTTCCTGGTTTCTTGCCCCATCGAGAATGAAACAACCATTCAAGAGGAAAGCAGTTGCAATCAGCATCAACTTCAACCGAATATTGAATGACCTACATATGTTTTCTCTACTTCTCCATGAAAAATGCATGTTTAACAAATCAAGTTTCCGTGATTGCTATGAAGGCAGTTGCAAATCAAAACAGGTTTCCTACCTCCTTGATGGACTTCTGTAAAGTTGCAGAACTTTCTCTGGACAAGCTAGAAGCAATCTGCAGTGGATGAATTCTAGCCTGTGCATGAAAAATAACAATCATCGAACATCAGGCAAGATATACAAGGAAATTCAGTCAACTCATAACATGAAGATATTGTCAAATGTAAAGTAATACAGTGACCGTAGATCCCAAGAAACCAGTATGGACTGCAGAAGAAGCCTAACCTAAGCCCTTGTGTTCTTTCTGCTTTAGCCCGTGTTATACTACATTTAAACTTGAACCAAGCACTCCTAACATAGATTGTGAGTATGGTCTTCAGCAACAATAAATAAACCATTTTAAATAGCATCCTTCATTGCCCTCTATTGCTATCCCTCTACTTCTTAGAAATGAACCCATTATGTTTACAATTTAGCTGTATGCACTCATCCAATTAAACAATCATCAATTTGCAAAATGCTATCCCTTGAAAGACCCACAATCCTTGGTAAATTGTGTCAATTACAAAATTCTTTTACTGTCATGAAAAGGAAAACTCCCTTTTATTATTTTCTGAGTAATATGACAAATAAAAGCTAAAAAACAACACTATGGATCCTCTGAGCCTAGGTTTGTCAACACCAAAAATTAAGGAAAATAGTCATGCATGTTTGCAAGTTAAAGCCTGATTAATGATTATAACATGGTGCTTCAATCAAAATTTCAATTTTAATCAAACTGTAATTTTGGTATTAATGTTAAAGTTAGTTAAGTGAAGTACACTAACTTGGTATAGCACTTCATCTGCAACCCAATTGCCGATTCCAGATACAAAACTCTGCAAAAATAAACACAGTTAGATTGATTATTCAACAAAGAATTTTAAAATAATTGCTTCATTTTGTCCCGACACACATATCTGAAACAATAGCTGTGTGCAGAAATACTATAATTATGGGTTTCAACTGAACAGTTTAGACCTAAAAACAACCCTTTTTTTTTCTTTTTTCTTTTTTAATTCTTGAAACTTGTAAAGGCACTCAGCTACCTAAAAAAAAAAGGAAAAATCATCAAGCTGACCATTTTATGACCACTTGCATCACCACAACCATAACAAGTAAAGATGAGAGGAGACTTTTAAAAACTTTTCGCGGGGGGGGGGGTAAGAACTTGTCAATTATTCTAGGTATGTGATTAATCCTTGTGGTTATTAAAGAATGATTATTGAACACTACTTTGCCAACCATACTGTTTTTGTAGAGATAAGTTTTCCTTAAACTCCTGAAGGAACAGTAGTACAACATCAGGATGTTTTCATTTCCTACTCTTTTAGCTCATGAAACCCAGGCATATCCTTTTAGAATCTAGCGAGAGGGTGCTGAGATAATTGTCATTCCACTTGCATGGTCGCACCGATCAGAATACGACCAAACTAATTGACATTGGCTACACCAATGTCCAAACTAATTACATTGGCTAGATTCTAATTGACATAAAAACCATATCCAAACTAATTGACATTGGCTACACCAATCAGACTACGACCGCCACTTTTGGTAGCCTAAATGTGGTTGAAAATCCTTTCTCTTCAGTCTTCACTAATATTGCTTCTTATTAATCTTGAGCCGTCTTCCACTTGCATAGTCACACCGATCTTTTGCATGTCATGAAGTAAACCAGAACACAATTACTATTTGTCTTTATTACTCATTATTATTTTCAAAAACCAAAAAGAAAGGGGATAGTCAGCCATGCATTTTGAAGCTTTGACCACTAGTAACCCCTTCTAAGTCACTCTCCACGACTCACTTATTTTGCACCTGTATGTCTTTTACACTATCTTAGAAATAGTACTTCAAATCAACATACACTTTAACCTGATCAAGTAATAGAGTCTTAATTGCAATTTTCTTCCTGCTTAGGGATCCATGAAGTTCATCAACTGTCATCGGCTCTAATAATGCATCAGGGCCCAACTCAGATATCGGGGGCTTAGAAGCTGGCTGTAGCAAAGAAAGAAGAGAAGGATATTGTTACGAACAATTACAAAATACCTACCAAAGTATATAAGTACGAAAACTTCATCTAGGATAACAGATAGTATTTATGTACATCTTCAAGCAAGCGGACTTTAGCAAATCGCCTCTTGTCAGTGAAAGAAAGCTCCAGACCATCATCTAGCTGCAGAAGGAGTATTGCATATTGATTAAATGGAAAAAATAGGGGCCAAATCAAAGTTTCATAAGGTCCCCTTGTAACTCGATAAGTTTCTAAACAAGATGCATCCTGTCCTGATTTTACTGAACTTCCATGTTCTGATTTTCCAATTGGATTAAAACCCTAACTCTTCTTTCCAAAAGATCAAATTAGAAATCCTTTGAATTTTTCTTGCCCTGTAAGTGAATAAATTGAGAAACTTTTCCACAATTTTACAGTTAATAGAACTCCAAAAATAATAATCACATGGATCATGACTGAATTATGAGTTATTTATTATTCAATAAAATGTATAGAAGTACAAACTACTATATCAATTCGTGAAGTGTAGCAATTCATACTTGAACAAAAAACTTCGAATATTTGGAAGGCCACTCCTCAGAGTCATTTACAGCAGACCTGCATGCAATTCTCTAATATAATCAACACTGGATCATTCAATAAGAGGTAGTCATTATGATAGATATAAGTTGTCTCAGCTAGGAGTGTTGAATGTGCATATTACAGAATATGACTCGCCTTTTATATTTGGTAACAGCAACTCCTTTGATGTATATAGCACCAGTCATCCCTGAAATGAGCGCAAAGCAATGGGATTACAAAAAACAAAGAAATGGTAATTATAATCTTTTACTTGAAATTGTTTTGGTTTTCAAGGAATGAGAACATAAACAACAGATATCTCCTTTCATGATTTCACACACAGTTTTTCAATTTCTATTCATTGTCAACAATTTTTTTTTTCCTTTTTGGGTAAAACTGTTTGCCCACAATGTATCAATAGCGATCAAGTAAACCCGCCTTTCTAAAACCCTAAAAAAAGAAAGCAAGTAACGAAAACCCATGTCTCCAAAGTACATGAAATCAAAAACCCAAAAGAGTCTAGTTAAAAAGCATAATGTATTACCGAACTGAAAGGAAGGGAAGGGAGAGGAGTCGAGTTGGAGCCACATGTTCTTTCCCTTTCTAAGAGCAGAAACAATAGTTTTGCCAACAAGTGCTGCCTCGAAATCAGAAGGAGAGACTCCATCGATGACTTTAGGGTCGTCGGCAATAATGGCTTTCTTTATCTTCTTCCCTATGCAATTTTCCTCTATTGCCCTTCTCGCTGCCTCTACCTCCGGTAGCTCTGGCATTGTCACTCTTCTCTTTTCAGAGTTTCTCTCGAAGTTTGTTTGGTGATGAATGAGAAATTGAGAATCAAGAAGAGTGCTTTCCCTTTTTTTTTTTTTTTTTTTTTACGGGATAATTATACTATTAGTACACCAAGTTTTTACATTTTTCCAATTGAGTATTATACATTTTAATTTTTTTAAAACAATTCGGTTGCACTGGCTTTTTCCAGAATTGCAGACGGATACTTCCCTCCAATCTTGGTTAATTGCTCCATTTTATTTTTAGTTTTATTATTTGGTAATGAATTGCTCCATTTTTTGTGGTGACATGGTATTCGTTCTAGACTACTAACTTCCAATTTTATCCTTCTGTTTTGAAGGTAACTTTCCCTTTCATTGATGATGTTGAAAAAAAAAGTGAAAAACGAAAACAAGATATTGGTTATAAATATTCGAAAATATCAAAATTGTACAAACTCAATAGAAGGTATAAATAATTTATGGTCTCCTAGTAGATTTGGGTCCAATCAAAATATATTTTATGGTTTTTATTTTTATATATCAATTTACCTAAGAGATTCTTTCAATGAAAGACATTTGAGAAAAATTGTACTTCACATGCTATAAAGAGTGAAGAAAAAATCATCAAATTATATATATATAAAATAATTGAAGGAGACAAAAATAATAAAGATAAAGTATAGACACTTAGATTGAAAGTTATCGAATGTAGCTTAGACAATTATCTGATCAAATTATTGGGTCATTAAGTTACTGGTTCTATCAATAAATTACTCGTCAAATTATTTGATTATTAGTTAGACCACTAGGTTATTAACAAAAAAATTAAAATAAAACGATCGATTAATATTTACTTTATTATTTGAAATATTGTTTACCTTATTTAGTTAGGAACATTGAGAACGAAATTTTTGTAAGAAGGAGAGGATGCAATATCCGTAACCTAAAACCTTCCTAGAAATGTAAATGTATTGGATGAATATTTTATAGATTAATAAAATGGTCTATTTATTGAATAAGCGAGTGAAGTTATGGATTGAAATTACATGGTTAAATTGCAAGTATTGGAAGTTAAGGACTAAAGTGTCAAGTGCTAATAAAGTGAGGGACTCTTCGAGTTGAACTAATGGGACAAAATTGATAGAAAAATCTGGATTTTCAGATTTTGCAAAGAGAGCAAAACGGGGAGAGAGAAAGAGAAAGGAAAAAGAGAGAATAAGAGAAAATCTAGGGCAAAATAGCAAGAGAGATTGCACATATCCAAATCCAACACTCTCGATCACTATAATCCACCTAGAACCACCTGAAATTAGTCTACGAGACCATTTTTAAAGATCAAGCAAGGAGAAAGGAAGAATTTCCTTATTTGGTCGAATTTTTGGGAGGGAAGGAAAAGAAAAGGGACAAGGAAAAAGAGAAGGACAAAGCCAAATTCTAAGTGAGGTAAGCATAATTCTTCACCCGCACCGTAGGAATTAAATGTTTGAAATGTAATTAGTTTTAATTCAGGGTATGTTTGACGAAGGGTTAACTAATATGTTGTTGAGTATTGTGTGAAAATTATTAAATTGTAATGGTATGGTAATGATTATGTGTTGAGAATGATAACGTTTAAGTGATTGAACGATGTAAATAGTCGAGTTTGAAATGTGTCTTTATTCTAAGATGTACAACCCATGAACGAGTGTAAATTGGTAGTTATTTTAATTTATGCCTACCATGTATTTAATGAATGTCTTAGAGACATTCTAAAGGCTGGAATGAAAGGATGAAAGTTGTCATTCACTTAGCCTAAATTCAACTAAGTATGAAAAACAAGGTAAAAAAAGCAAATGTTAGATGTGAGGTTTAAAGGTATGAATGACATGAATATGATCATATACATATAAAAGATGGATGTTTATGATGCTCACGATGATTGGCTATTGTATGATGCCTTCCATGTCATGGATTATCCATGATACGTTTCGTGTTGCATACATACTTAATTATTTAGAACATGTGAATGAATTAAAATGTTTATACATTTTCTTAAAGATGTAACACTATGCATGTTAAGGTCATGTTTATTGTAATGCATTTCATTCAAATGCATATGCTCATACACATCGTTATTATGGAAGAGAAACTTTATTCATGATTTTCATGAAAGGAAAATGAAATGATTTTTATGAAAGGAAAAAGGAAAAAAGTTTTCATAATTTTCATGGTTTTTCATGAAATGTCTTTTCTTCGTCGAGGGATTTGATAAAGGCCTCGACGGTTAAGGGATTCGGTGAAGGCCCCAACTAAAGAAATTGGCCCACTTCTTCATCGAAGGATTCGATAAAGATCTTGACGAGTTGCGAGATTTGGTAAAAGCCACGATTGAAGAATGTGGTAAAGGCATTCATTCATCGAGGGATTTGGTAAAGGCTTTGACGAGTTGGAGGATTTGGTGAAAGCCCCAACCGAAGAAATGATAAAGGAAAGAGTGCACTCAAAAGGGAAAAGAAAAAAGGAAAATGGTTTCAAAGGCATGGAAAGGATTTTTATGAAAGATGTATCATGTGCATTCGTATATAAAGGACATCACATGCATTGCATGAATTATACTTACCGAGCATGCACTTGTTCATTATTGTTTCCTTATGGTGTAGCAGATGATAAAGACAAATGAAAGGTTGTCACCGAGGCAAATGACGCACTTGTCATTTTATGTGCTTTGGTTTGGGTCGGTGAGTATAGGGAATCTTGCATAGCTTAGCTCGATTTTTGATGCATAGCAAGTTAGGCAATTTTTGGTATGTATATAAGTTAATTAACAAATATTGTTTTGGTATAAATGAAAATATTAATTGAAGGTTAAGTCATTAGTATATCAATTTTGGTTAGTTTTAGATCATAGATGCTTGAATGACTAATGTGGCTAGGATGAGGAAATTTGTAAGGTCAAGGAAACTATTACAATTTAAAATGACAAGTAAGGTGTAATGTCCGGTACCCGCTAAAATAGAAATGTAATAAAAGTTTAATATTAAAACGTGTGAAAATAAATAAATAAATATTTTTGAGAACGAGAAATAATTATTAAAAACTTAAAAGAATATTTAGAAGGGTCAAAATAGTTTTTCATGCTTAAAGAATATCTTAGTGATTTTTCGATACATGAACAGTAGTTATTGCCTAAGAAAATTAATTAAAGCATGTTATTTATGTATGAAAAATATATTTTTTTTGTTTAGAATAATTTTAGAAGGGTGTTAGATTATTTTATATGATTTTATGAATTTTTCTACATATGGTGAATATTTCATTGGATTTTCTAAGTGTAGGAATAGTGTTTTTAGAGATAAAGAATTTAATTAGGCACCTTAAGAGTATGAGAAATTTTTTTTAAGAACATAGAATAATCATATAAGATGTGTGAGACTGCTTAGAAAATTTAAATTAATTTTAGTAAGTATAAGGAATATTTTTTATAGGAAAAAGTGTAATTTTCACACTAAATAAATAAATTGAAGGCTCAAATTAGGGAAAAAAATTATAAAAATTTAAATAAAAATCCCTTAATGAATTTTTGAATTTATTCTAGAAATAAATTTGATTTTTGAAGAGTATAGAATGGAATTTTAAAAGCGGGGAGTAAATTGCATAAAATTAGGGACTAGATTGCATAAATTTAAAAGTATAACGATCCAAATTAAATTATGTGAGAATGTTAAGGGTTAAAAATCAGCCTAAAAAATAAAAAGGAAGGATTAGAAGTAAGTTTTTGTATAAAAAAGGGACATAAGAAAGAACGGGCTATGGAAAAGTCTAGAAACTTGGAGGACCATAATTTGTCATTTTCCTCCCAACTTTGGCCAACCTAGAGAATTAATTAACTCTGACTTCCAGTAAACATTATGGCCAAAAATAAGCAAGGTGGAAGGGTTAAATAAAAAGGTGAATAAATGGCTAAAAATTAGAACAAATGCAAATGAATGATTGAAAATTGAACTAAGGGCTGAGATTTTTCCACGTTAAGGGTGGAGATGAGTTCAATGATTTCACAAAATTTCATATAAATAGGAGTGCTGAAAAAATAAAAAGGAGAGGAAAAATTGAAAAACACAAAGGAACTCTTACAAAATTTTCACTTAAAAATCACCCAAAATATTTTTAATAAATTCTATCCATCTCTAATCAGTGGAAGAAGCTTGAATTTTAAGTGGGAAGCCGAAAATCTCAAGGGAAAAATTCAAAGATCAAATTCAAAAATTTAGAGGAAAAGAGGAGGAAGAGAAATCCTTCACCAATCTACCTTTTTAGAGTCTAATTGGAGCTCAAACAAGTAAGTTAACCTCACTTACACCACAAGCATGCTTAATTTCAAGCCAATTTCATGTTTAATTGCTTGATTTGATTTAATTTCTCAATTAAGAAAATTTAGGGTTAGGATTCTTGATGAACCAAATTTGGGGGTTTTGAATTCTTTCATTTAGTTGGTATTTTGACACTTGATTCTGAACTATTTAAGTATGAATTAATATTTAAGAATGAAAAATTACACTTTAATTGAAGAAAAATCAACTAATTTTTAGGAATTATATTCGGCCTAAACTAAGCAAATTAGGGTTTGAGTTCAAAGCAATTTGATTCTGGTTTGATGGGTCATTCACACTTGAATAAGAATTTTTTGATGAGTAGAAATGGAAAATTTGCTAAAAATTGAAGAAAATGGGTTTTATGGGCTTGGGCCCGATTTCGGCCCATTAAGGCCCAATACGAGTTTGGACCAGATTTCGGGTCCCAAATTTCAATTGAATTAATTCCTATAGTTTTTACATATCTAGGCTTCTTCGTGTTAAAATGGTGGGACAAAATGAGGAGAAAATGTTAGGATTTTAAAGAGGTTAAGTTTAGGTCTAAATGGAAATTTTGGAGAATTAGGTTTAAACCAAGTTTTAAACCTTAAATTTGATTATTCAGACTCAAAACATAGTAAAAGGATTATTTAAAATGAAAAGGGCTCATAA